GGCCTGGCGTTGCAGCAGCACTCAGACTGGGGCTTGCTTTCAGTGGGGTTAGGTGGCTTTCTGGGGCGCTCGACCTCTGCTTGGCACAATAACCCCTGGAGGCTGGCAGTGGGCACTCAGCACCTGTATTCAGAAATCCCCAGGGCTCCTTGAGTGGGCTGGGGGACTCCACCCCCCCCAAGAGGAAAAGGTCTTATGGGGGTTGTTTGGGATTTTTGAGACATCTCAGATTCTCTCTGAGCCGAGCCTGAAGCTGCCCAGAACTTGCTGCCTCTCAGCGTTCTACAGCTGTCCCCGGTGCCCCGCCCCGAGACCCCGGCCACTCGCTGCACGTCAGCAGAGTCAAGGCCACGTTTCAGGTGCCCAGCTCCTTCCATCTCCACTACTGTGTGTGGAACGGTCTCAAGCTCTGATCCATGAACCTCAGTATCTGCCACTTAATCCCTCCTCTGGGCCCTGGCTGGGCTTTACCATCTGGGCAAGAGGGGGAAATGTGGGACCCCCAGAAGGTGGAGGAACTTCATGCCTGAAGTGCTGATCTCCTGGGTGGCCTCCAGAAGCTGCTGCTCTTTCACAGACAGGAGCGGGTGGGTCCACCAATGGCTATTAGCAGGGCTCGACAATTTAGGTAATTACTCGCCACGGGCTGGTGAGCCCTAGCTCTTAGCCACGAAGATTAGGGATGCAACCTAGAGTTGCCAACCTTCTAATGCAGGATGGGAAACCTTTTTTTCCTATCAGGGGCCACTGACCCACAGGAAAAAAACAGTTGGGGGCCCACACAGCTCTGTGAGGGAGGGGGACCCCTGTCTTGAAGTAGGTGACTTCTGGGTACCTGTCTGGCTCTATTTCTGCCTGATAAAGATCTTGTAGGTGTTCGTCTCTGTCTGTGGGACTGGAGCAGATCCGCTGGATCTTAGGGCCTGGCTCTAGACAATCGATCGTGTGATGGACGCTGGAGGCATGTGGGTAAGAACAGTGGTCAGTAGGTTTCTGGCATAGGCTGGTGTTTATGTGACCATCATTTATTTGCACTGTGGGGTCCAGGAAGTGGATCTCTTGTGTGGACTGGTCCAGGCTGAGATTGATGGTGGGGTGGAAATTGTTAAATTCCCAGAGGAATTCTTCAAGGGCCTCCTTCCTGTGGGTCCACATGATGAAGATGTCATCCGTGTAGTGCAGGCAGAGGAAGGGTGCTAGGGGCTGAGAGCTGGCAGCCATAAAGACATTGGCATATGGTGGGGCCCTTGTGGGTGCCCATGAGTGGGCCACTGACTTGAAGGTATAAATTGGCCCAAACTGGAAATAGCTGTGTGTGAGGACAAAGTCACAGAGCTCAGCCACAAGGGTGCCGTGGCCTCTTCAGGGACAGACAGGCCCAACAAGGAAAATAACAGACCACCACTGGTCACCACTTACAGCCCCACCTTAAACCCTGCCAGCACATCATTGACAATCTACGACCTAGGCTGGAAAACGGTCCCTCAACTCTCTCTGGCCTTGGGAGACAGGCCAGCCCTCATCTACAGACAACTCTCTAACCTGAAGCAAATACTCACCAGCAGCCACACACCACACCTCAGGTGCACTCACCCAGGAACCAATCCCTGTTGCCGTCTCTGTCCATGCACCCATACTAGCGACAGCGTCACAGGACCAAACCACATGAGCTACACATCAGGGGCTCCTGCAACTGCACATCGTCTAACGTGAGATATGCCATCAGGTGCCAGCAATGCCCCTCGGCCATGGACACTGGCCAAACCGGACAGTCTGTGCCACAAAGGGTTAATGGACACATCAGACATGGGGAATGGTAACACACAAACCAGAGGGACATTTTAACATCGGGTCACTCACTCACGGATTTAAAGTAGCCATTCTCCTACAAAGGAATTCACCACCCAATTACTGGAATTCATCTACAGAATTGAGTCCCCAGGGCTTGAATGAAGACATTAACTGGTCCATGGATTACAAAGCCAATTTTCCCTGCCTTTGACATTTGCATGTTCACATCTAAAGCTGTGAATGGGACACATCCAGGCCACTTAATTAGCCTCATCACCAGCGGTCCTACAGTTGATGGGTACATGCTTTTGCTGCTACATACACCTTGGATTCGGTTATTTGCACTCCAGCTCTGCGGAAGAGGGTTTTACCCACAAAAGCCTATGAGCCTATCTATATTTTTGTTACTCTCTAAGGTGCCAGTCTAAGGGAGTTGAGGTGCAGGCTCAGGCTTTGGGAGGGAGTTTGGGTGCAGGGGGACTCGGGGCTGGGGCAGGAGGGCTTGAGGACTGGGGCTAGGGTTTGGAATGCAGGCTCCAGCTGGGCACCGCTTACCACAGGTGGCTTCTGGGTGGTGGTGCAGGGGGCTAAGGCAGGCTCACCCCTCTCCTGGCCCTGCACCACTCCCAAAAGCAGCCAGCAAACTCTCCATCCGTCCCTCCACCTCACCCCCGCTCTGGGAAGATGATGTACAGATTGCAGGGAGGGGCATCCTGACATCAGCACCTCTTCCTTTTCCTCCTGTGCCCTGCACAGCAAGCAGGAGGCTCCCGGGCCTGGGAGCTGCTCAGAGGCAGGGACAATAGGGCAGTGCTGAGGGGCAGGTGAAGAGCCGGCACTTGACAAGACTCCTGGCCAAACCTGTCAGGGTCCCGTCAGAGGCTCCACGATCCACCTGTAGCTCTCGATCTCCTGCTTGGTGACCACTGGTCTAGCGGAACGGTTCTACGCAGCCAGGGAGGTGCCAATGTGCCACGCGCTAGCTGGCCGGGTGGCTCCGACTACAGCGCACTAAAAGGCCCCTAGTGCAGGGCCCCCTCAGCCTGCTGGAAAAGCTCCACAGCCCACCCAGGGATGGCGTTAGGTGCTCGCAAGCAGGGCTCCAGCCCTGGGTGGTCGTGCTCAGGACACAGGCTTCAACCCCATGTGGTGGAGCCTGGGCCCCAGGGAGTCTTATGCTGACCCTGTTTGGTGGCCCCCAGACCCCGGTAATCACTGCCCTAGTGTGCCCTGCCCCCCTCATCCTCAGCCAGGTAGATCAGTGTGCCAGGGAAAGCCTCGTGCCCTGGCTGCACACCCGCTGGCCGGCAGAAGCATGGCAAGGGGAAGCTGCTCACTGCTCCTTGTGGAGCACACGGGCTGCTTTCCCCGCTTCTAAAACAAACACACAGCACTGTGCTGCATCGCTGCCTCGTGTTAAAAATCCAGCGGGGCCAGGCTGGCCGAGCACGCCTGGAGAGCTAGCACAAGGCTCTTCCCTCTCCCCCTGCTCAGCCTCAGGGGCCATTTCCTCAGCGGGGTGTGAATGGAGCTACGCTGACTGATAGTGCTGGGCCTGTGACTGTGGTTTTAACACAAATTTACAGTCAATGACATTTGGAGAACAGAGGCCTTGACCTTTCATCAGTAATTAACGAATCCTGAGAGCTCCCAATTTAAAAGACAGGGATGCTCCCTTCACCAAAGCTTTGGGGGCCGCGCGGGTCCATGTACCAGACCCCTTTGCAGCTACTGGCAGGGTTGCCAGGTGTCCGGTATTGAACAGACGGACACGTGGCAGGGGTGGGGGGAGCTACTGGTGTTTGCAAGCAGGCACCCACAGCAGTTACCAGGCAAGCACAAAGCACCCAGCTCACATGGGCAATCACGGCATTAGCAGCAGGTTTCCAGAAGCTGCAGTTCAGCAGCCCACTCAAATGGAGGGCAGTGATTGGTTTATTCCTGACTGATCAAGGCACACAGGCGGGGCATAGCCAAGATGTGGATTCAACGACGTAGGAGCAGTCATGGCCCCTGCCAGTCCCCGGTCAGTGCAAAAGCTCCACCTGCTGCAGATTATACAGAAAAGCCAGGCAGCCGGGGGTCTCAGTTCACACCCCCCTGTAACCACAAAGCTGTGCTTGGCTTAGAATCCCTCCATGAGAGACACAGCCACAAACTCGCTGGTGGGAGGGGCTCTTGAGCTCAGAGGCCAGACTAAGCAAAACCTGAAAGCCTGGAAGATGCTTATTGGGATTCTCCTACCCCCAAAATGCCAAGGCACTCAGCATGTCAAAGCCACGCGGTGGAGGAATTGTCAGCCAGGTGGCTGCTGTAAATCCTTACTCGGTATTTTTTGCAGGCAAGTGAGCACAGGCTAAATGCTAGGTCATAGCACAGGGTAATAGCAATAACACGTCCCTACTTCATACCAGAGTGCAAGGTGGAGACTTCCCGTCTCACTTGGCTTGTGTGTGGCCAATCACAACATGCTTTCGGCTCTTGGCTGTCACAGGGCTGTTGCTGCTGATCTACAGTACACCAGGGAATGGATCTTGCGCATTAAATCCGGTTTTTACAGAAGCTACTGTAGCAATGGTCTGGCACAAAAACCTCCCGTTGTTTTTATTTTGTCATTTTTAAAAAGAAAAAATGAATCTAAGTTTGGGCTAAAGCCCCATTGAAATGAGATCAAGGCCGTGCTAGAAAAGCACAAACCAAACAATGCTTTGTCTAACCCTGAGCGGCCCAGTGCTGTGCTCTCCCGCCATGCTGAGGGATGTCTGTGCTAGGGAAAGTGCCAAAACCAAGCCCCCTATGGTTAGAACCACAGACACAGGCGACTCTCATACAGCACAGAACTGCCTGTAACGCCCCACTGCCCCGACACGGATTCCTATGACATTAAGTGCTGGACAATCAGAACAAAGAGGGGCCTGGAGCCATTTTCATTAAACTGGCCTACGTCTGCGCTGCAGTTCTAACAAGTTTTAAAGTCAACTTGTCTGATTTTAAGCCAGACTGGAAAGCTTCCTCAGCAGAGACATGCCCTATAGGGCTTCAGCCTATTGCCCACCTCTGCCCCAGAACATTTTTCACATGCATTTGCCTCACTATTTACAGCAGTAACTTAACTGTAAGAACATCTTTAACCTGTTTTTTAAAATGGACAGCAATTTAGTTAATGGGCTGCCCAATATGGCAGCTTACATTATAGGCAGGCTATCGAGTGCATCGCAGGGCCCCCACATCATGTGCGGTTTTATTTTTTGAAATGTGAAAACCATGTTTTGAGCAGCGAATGATCTCAAGTTAAAACCCACAATTAGGAGTTTAAAGAGAAAGCTTTTAAACATGCAGTTGGTCTACAAATCACTATGGCACAGCCACGAGCCCTAGAGACGGGCTTCCCCGGAGTGGTGGCAGATGTTCTGCAGTGATGGTGTGTGGAAAACCCAATCAGGAGTCCAATGGGAAAGGCAATGCAACACTGAAGTAGGAAATAAAGCAAACTAGTGCAGACAAGAGGGAAAGTTTTCATGATGTTACAGCAACGTCACTCGTCCAGCCCTGCCCAGCAAGCACTGCAACAGCAGCAAGAGACGCTGGACAGAGGGAGAGCACTCAGACTGCATCACCCAACCTCCTTGCTCACTTTGGGTTTCTTTATTTGGTTAGAAATACAGATGTCCTGGCTGCATCTACCCCCACCTTGCACACATGCAAGAGCAGGCCATCAGTAAGCCACACAGCTACTAGACATCAGCCACTACCTGTGAGCTGGAGCTAGCAAATGGAGGCAGAATTGGTAGTATCTTAGGCCCGGCAGCACTCCCCCGTCTGACCAGGATTAGCAAATTGCTTGATGTAATTAGCACAGTCACAACCTGTAGAAGTGCAGCTATTACCCCACCCATGACCTCTAGTTCTAGGCTCCTAGAATACACAAAAGGGGAACAGTTCTGTGATGAGCAACAGGGGATAGAAGAACCAAATATAATCACTACGTATCCCCCTGCCAGAGCTGGGGTGTGGCCGGATTGGCCCGTGCAGTGCTGTGGTGCACTTGGAGAGTGAGCTTCTCACACTGGTAGCACAAGGCTTTGCACGTGAGTCAACTTGTGGAAGGACTCTTGGAGCAGTCGCTTGGCGAGAAGAGATGTACAGCTAGCACTGTCACAGGAAGGCAAGACAAACCACTTCAGCCACGTCATGCCTGTCCAATCCGACTGACTGGTGTTTCCTCTTCACTCCAGGGCAGCTAGTTCTTCCATGAGCTCCACTTTCTCCCGCTGCAGCTCCTGTACCCGCTGTTTGTTCTGCTCCAGCCTGTCCTCCAGCCACTGCAGGAGGGGGCCACTGATGGCAGACATCTGGCTGCAGAGATTTTTGGTGAACACTGGAAAAGACAAAAACTACATGGCAGCGGAGGAGGCAGACTCTCTTCCCCAGGAGGCAGAACTGCAAAGCTTACACTGAAAGGTTTCACCACAGTGTTTCACACTGAGACATCCTGGATCCTTACAGGAAAGGGTTAAACAACAGCTACCAGTCAGAGGGGGAGTTGGGAGAAAACGTATACAATTGATTTAGCCCTGAGTTTTACATGCCATTTTCTATTGTATGTTCCTAAAGACACGTAAACAGGCTACAGGAGACTGGCTGTTTTTCATTGTCCATAGGGGGAAGGGTACCCTCTATTTTACACTCAAAGTCAGATACGCCATTGGCCTCCTTGCAGTAGAACACAGCTCCATCCTGCAGAGATCAGAGTTAAAGAGAACGGGACTAAAGCAGCCTACTTCCAGCCATGGCGTACAGAAGCCTGCACTGGCGCAATTTGCATGCCGAAGCGCCAGATGTCCACAGCCCACTTTACGCTCTTTCATTTCTGGACCAACATGGCGCTAACATTACTCTGGAGGGAATTCTGCTAAAACTGTCTGCCCCCAACGTTTGAAAATTCTGCACAATGTGCCACCAACTAAACTGCCACCCTGGATCACAGACCACTGGCTACGGGGAGGTGGCAGCTCTCCCTGCAGGGTCCCCTCAGTCGTGAGGTTGAACCCAACCCTGACCCAGAAACATCCTGGGGCCCTGCCCCTCTGCACCAGGCATGCCAGGGGTGGGCAGGCAGGTTCAGCCATGGCGGGGCTGAGTGGGGTATGATCCAGGTGTGGGGTTAGAGGGTTCTTTGTGGGACAATCAGAGTCCAGGCAGCTCAGGGGTTGTGGAGAGCTGCAAGGGCAATGAGGCTCTGCAGTGAGACCCAGGTGAAGGTGGCTGCGGCTCAGAGGGAGGGGAGACTGGGGCTCAGCAGTGATTTCTCTTTCCATTGGCTGCTCCAGGCCCCCGAAACAAGGCACCTGAACTACTGGGGGAGATTTCTTTCACTCCCCATCAGGAAGTGAAACATCTGCAGGGGGCAGGAATTCAGCACCCCCGCTGTGGGGCAAGATTCCTCCAGGAGTACTCTGCGATGAGGCCATGCTACAATAGCCACATCCAGTTCTACAACCATTTAAACCCAACGGATCAACTGAAGGAGGCCACCCAGTTCATTCCATTTGAGAGTCAGTTCCCCAGCCCCCCAAACACCAGAAAGTTAACGAATAATTTGAACTTCCCTAGCCCCATTATAAGAGTGGCCAAGCTTGAAGGGAGCTCTCGGAGGTCAGCCAAGCTGCAGAGCAAGACAGGAGTTACACAGCAAGATCAAAACAGAAGGCTAAATTTGGGCAGAATAATCAAGCCATACGCTGGCTCAATGCCCAAGGTTGCCAAGTGAACACAGGGTTACAATCCACAGAGCTAAACACGGAGATCTACTGCCCTCTAGAGGCAGGCCCAGAACGACTATTTCCCAAGACCAGATCCTTATTCCCAGCAGAGGAACTCTTACCTGAGCCATTGTGAATCTTGGTTACAGAGTCGAGATGGGTGAGGCTAAAGGCAAGAACAGAACGTAGCTGATGACAAGGCAGCATGAACAGAATGTGAGGTGATCCAGAATAATGGAAAACAGCCACCCACAAGTCTAGAACCACAGGCATTTGGGGACTGCTCACCCTTACTTAATGGGAGTTCCACTGCATTGACCACGCCATATCAAGCCAGGTATTACGAGGAGTATCATGCATTCTTCATGCTGAACCCACAGACAGAATTGCTGTCCTGCTTGCATGAGCATTTTATTAGCATGTGGTCTTATTTCCTACACCCCTTTCCTTCGGACCAGCCTTTTTCCACCTCTACCCATTTTGAGAACTAGGATCATCAGAGGACCATGCAATTGCCTATCATACTATGCAGGCGCCTTGCTCTTTTCTGTGCCGGGGGAGAGCTGCTAGCTGTAGCTTCTCCAGCCTCTGGGCATGGGGCCTGAGCTACAGCCCACTTCGCAAGGAGGTGCAGCCTCACTGGGCTCACAGAGGAAAATTTTGGAACAGCTGTTTGAAATTAGCCCCCCTGCAGAGGCACCGTAGGGAGCAGGAGTCATTAGCCAGACTAAAAGCACATATGGTGAAGAGCCAACCGTTAGGACTGGGAGCTAGCTCCAAGGTCTCTCATGGCAGCAGGTGTCACTAACCCGTCTGCTTCCTAGACGTGGGCTCTGCTCAGGATAAAGGACTATGAAGGTCGAGCTTATTAACTGTGAAAGCCTCGGTCATCAACTAGCCCCTCGGGTGCTATGGAAGGGAAGTGACCCCGACCCCGACCCCGGCCCCTACCCATACCTGTGAATTCTCCTGTATGCATCTTGCTCCTCCTGGCACAAGATCTTGGGCAGCTCCACCGCCGATTCCAGACATACTTTCCCAATGGTGTCATGGGGAACCACATGGATAGGAATTTCAATCCTCTCATACCTGCAGGGTGATGACGTGCAAGTTACCGCCCCTACCCTTGTGGTCTGCTACTTTCAACAGTCAGCACTGCCATCTGGCAGGAACGGCTTGCCCCCGTCACAGCACCACAGCTGTGCTGCTGGGATGGCTTGTCGTGTGGCCTGACAGACGAGAAGCAGTTTGCATTGGCTTATGAATGGAAAGAGGAGCTAAGACGTCAGCATTGTGGACACCTCCTGATAAGCATATGAATATGGAGGGCCCTATGGCTTGGATTCCCCTTTAGAAAGGTGTCCACTTTCAAGCAGGAAATGAGGCCTTCTGTAGACATCCATAATTACTGGCATGAACACAACACTTAGTTCTATGTTCAGATGATCATCTGTAATCTTGTCACAAACCAATTCTACAAGCCAAATACACAGAGAGGAGTTAGAATTGAAATTGTGGATGAATTGTAATTCCCACACTGATAATGGATGGCTGGGACATTATCAACCTAACATTCAATGAAGGTGCTAACAGCTCTTTGTCTGTGTAGATTCTTGGGTTAGTATCCTTCCTATCTAACTGCTATCCTATGATCCGTAACTGCTTCTTTTAACTATCCAATCTTCAGGTGCTTATAGGTTACCAGTTCTGCCTACTTGTTTTTCCCTTTGATATTTTCATACCCTCTGCTCCTTGTTTCTCACCCCTTTCCTTTTTTTCCCCGCCTTCCCCCTTCTCTCTTCTCCCCTATATATTTTGGGTCTGCACATCCTAAACTCACAACTCCGGTCATCTGAAGAAGTGGGCGGTGCCCACGAAAGCTCATGATACCATCGACATGTTTTGTTAGTCTGCAAAGTGCTACCAGCCCATTGGTTGTTCAAGCTTATCAGTAATTGTTCAAGTTAACCAAAGAAAGCGGAGGATAAAAAGGAGACTGATCACTGACTTAAATCTTTTCAGACAGTACTTACTCGGAGCTCTTCTGAGCCTGAATTGACTGGAAGCAGGTGTAGAGTATCCGGCCCGTCTAGAAGAATCAGCAGAAACAAACACCAGACTATGTGAATGAGAGCGCACCTAAAATCCCAACTTTCAAATACAGGTTGGACCTCCCTGGTTGGCTTGGTCAGGACCTGACCCGTCCCGAAGGACAGACTTTGACAGGCCAGGGGAGATGTCCACTGCCACGAGCCAGCCAGCCCCCCGCCTCTTCTCTACTGCTGCCGGCCCCAGACTGCTTTTGGCAGCTGAAGTTCTCTGGCCCTGGCCCGCACTGCTGTGTGGCGCCAGATTTCCCCAGCCCTGCGCTGACATAGGCAGCTGGGCTTCTCCGGCCCCCAACTCTGCACTGCCGCAGGTGCCTGGAATTCCCCAGCCCTGCGCTGCCATAGTCTGCCCAGATTCTCTGGCCCAGCACTGCTGTGGGGCTCCTCTGGCCCCACTGTTCCCAGCTGGGCTGGTGGCCCTCCTGCCATTAGGCTCTAAGGCTCTCTGGTACAGGAGCATCCGTGGCATTGCTAGACCAAAGAGTGCCGATTTTCAGAGGTGCAACCCGTAATGCTTTTCCGGATGGGTTCAAATGTACCATTTCTTGGTGAGGCAAGAGGCAAAAATTCATAAGAAACAAATAGTAAGTCACCCACTACTGACTCTTAACTAGAACATAAAACTTTTAAATCAGAATCATCTGATTAAACCAACAAAAGCCGGGAAAAGCTGGTTAAAGACATTTCCTTCCCGTCTTGTCCCAGTATGCCTCTCACAGGGTACAGTGATGTTAGATACAACACTCTGAAATAGTTAGATACAACAAGCCTGAAACACAGAAGAACATAAGCCTATGCTGAATGGAACGTGTTATTGTGGTGCAGAAAGTTACCTTCTTTATGCCCTCATGAGCACACCATAATCACTGTCTGGTCCTACCAACCCTGTAAACATAAACCTATTAACCTATCATTTTCCATCAGGTTTTCTTGCTACATTTGCCAGTTATAAATTGGAGTTAAACACGTTTGCTTCCTTCAGAATATCTTCTCTACCAACATTAAACTGTAGCACTGAATAGGGATGTAAGAGTGTAGCCATGTGAATGGGTATCAGATAAGCATACGCTTATCGGTTAATCCAAACGGCTCCACATAGCTCTTGTTCCAGCTCCTGGGGAGTCACATGCCACCCTGTACTGCTGCCTCTGATACAGAGGCAGCAGGACAGCAGCTGACTCCCCAAGAGCAGGATGACAAGTGGGAGCCAGTGGACACCAGCTCCTGGGGAGCTGGCTACTGCCTCGCGTGTAGCCATATAACTGCTGAAATGTTCAGCAGCTATACGCTTACTCAGTTACAAATATATTCAACATTAGGAATATTAGAACGTGTGTAACTGAACTAGCCTGCAGGTTAGCTCACATCTGTGCTGCATTTATATTGCTCACATTCCAGCAGGCCTCTGACGCAGCTTCAGAGTGAACCCATATTGCAGATACCATTCAGGATTAAGTATAAAACTTCAGCTCTGCATCAAAGCTGAAGCTTCAGACTGGTATTTGAAGGGTTTCTTCTCTCTATTTACAAGTTGCCTACCTTTGTGTTCTTGTCCTCAATGAAACAGGAAAAGATGAGCCCCACAAAGCCCTGGTCCATCATCTGATACATGGCTTGAGTGCGAACATCTGAAGGCATGAATAAGAACAAAATAAACAAGCGGCTGCTAAGCAGAGAAGGACTATTCCAGTCACCAAAAGCACCAGGCAAAGACATGCCACCTTCCCAGATGCCACTCTCTAGTTTCATCCTAGTCAAATGGATATTTTGATTTTTTTTGTTTGTTTGTTTAAAAAAAATCTCTCCCCAGGTCCCAAAAAACACCCAACTTTAAAGGGATATTTAAAAATTTCCAGTAACTGGACAAATACAAAGCAAGACTAAAATGCTAGGATTCTAGCTTTAAAACCCATCTATAAAAATTGCAATAAGAAATAATGAAGTAAAACATCCACCTGATAACATGTATCTAGACAGGCAGAACAAAGCTGCAGCCATACACCCAAGAAGGTATAATTATGACTACTCGATATTATACCTGGGGGGCTGGACTCGATGACCTCTTGAGGTCCCTTCCAGTCCTATTATTCTATGATTCTATGATCTCAGAGCTACAAATAATCTTCATTCCCAAGATGTTGGAAACCCTGAGGTTCTACTCTACAACTAGGGGAAAAAAAAGACATCCAAGAGCTTTGAGTATCTCTTTCGGTTTCTTGTGTTTCTGGTTGCAACTCTGACCTTCCAGTCTTGAAGAACACCTATGAGAACAGACTGACTACCTTCCAAATCCAGAGGACTTCCCATTTTAGATCATTTGAAGGTAGGGGAAAATTAAAAAGTCTAAAAGCATCATTTAACAAGAAAAGAAATGAGACGCACAATAAAGCACATATCCATATGAACCTCTGGGCTGACACTCCTTACCTACATGAGATGGCCAGACAGTTATGTGTGGGTGAGAATGATACCAGCCCACAACTCTCATGGGACGTCCTGTCATCTCAGCCAACCTGTGTGTCAGTCAAGGTGCTTTCAAAACAGCGAGACAGCAGAAGAGACTACAGATCCCTTGTACAAGTTAAATAATAAGCACGTGGCAGAATTCAAACAAGCATTTAAGGGATAATTTGATACTAATGCATTAAAAAGAAGAACTGGTGATGGTGTTTGCTGGTATGATCTCCCTTGTGGCAACCAATGAACCACTTCAAGGAAGAGTTACATCTATGAGGGTGAACAGAAGCAATGTGCATGTGTATACAGAAATAAAACAACAGATGCTAGAAAACTACCCAAAGAATCAGACTCCGGTCATTACAAAGATTACATTTCAAAAGGGCTTCTCTACGAGGGGAACTTTCAAATACACTAAAAGTGAAAATACAAGCCTATTAACCTTTAATTTTCCACGAAGTTTTCTTGCTGCATTTGCCAATTCTAAAAGGGAAAAGTGAGCTTTCTTCAAAATACAAAGGCAGTCTTAAAGGAAAACTCCAGGAATTAGCTATAATGTTTTGGATGTTAGACTACATGTCAATTTGCTTCCTCCAGAACATTTTCTCTAATCATATTAAACTGAACCATTGACTATATTTGTGACAAAACCACATGATCAAGAACAAAGGGTAATTACAATATGGTGCCATCACATCATTCAAAAAGGGGGAAAAAAAGACTGCAGCAACGGAGAACTGAAGCACAGCCTCTTAAAGTGAAAGTGAAAAGGCAGAAGGCAACTTTATTTTAACTACAATAATTCAAGTGTGGTACTGAAATCAAAAGGATTTGAGGTCTAGAAATCTTGTTGTTAAACTTCCTAATGACCACAGCCCTTTCTGGCTACAGGCGCTGTAAAAGGATATCTCTGCTTCAGTAGAAGCAGCTGAAAGCTGCTCCGGAGAAATCTCCACTCGATCTTTCCTCTTATCTGAACGGCGCAGGATGATCACAGAATGAATATGAACAATTCTACTGGTATCAACCTAATAATAAATGAGGAGGAAGAGTCACTCACTTCTTTCTCAGTGAACCAGCTTCCCAGTGACGGCACTGCTACCATGTCTTTACCAACCCGCCTCCCTCCCCCCCCCCCCCACACACACACACTTTCTCTTAAAACATAGGGACAAGTGGGTTGTTTTTCCTAGGTTTTCATTTCAGAAACCATGAATTTAAAATTCTTGAAAATTATGAGTTGAGGGTGTCACAGCAATCTCAGAGCAGAATTGGCAAAAGTGGCTGATTGCTGAAAAGAGAGCCAAGACAGGAGTAGTCCATTGTAGACTTGGAGAAAAGCGAGGCACATGTTACAGAGATGTTCTTTTAAATGTTTATACAGAATATGTCTATGCTATGCCAGCTTTGGTCATTGCTATTAAGTCTTCACTTCCGTGACAATCAGGTTCACTCAAGAAAATAGCAAGTTTGCTTTTTGTGCATAGCTTCATCACACACTTTTTTTTGCATATGATGCTTTTAGGGTTGATCAGAGCATGAGAAGTCTACTAAACACCCCACTGCTCAGAAACTAAGTCTACTTGTCAAATCAAAACACACAGGTGCCCCCAAGTCATGCCCTTTCCTGAAGGCCAGATGCTAACCTGCTGCTTTGACTTCGAACATGCAGCAATGGTCCCTGTTGGCTCAACACTGCACATTCCCCTTCCCTGCCCATTAATGCTAGTGCTCAAACAAACAGTAGTCAATGCTGCATCCAGAGCACACACCTAATCAGTTAGCATTTCGTCACCCATCCCCCAATTCTGTGCTGTCCCTCAACTATTAAAGCAAAGCCTCAGAACAGAGAAGAGCTAATGTTCATTTCCATGCATCACCAACCTGGGGAGCGACTACCTCATAGAACAGAGGACATCTGCACACTCACCTGCTCGCAGCACCCAAATGTCCTATGCGAGGTGTGCGACTACTCACAAGCACCCTCCCTCCCGACACAGAGCTTTCGGTTGGAAGAGGGAATGTGGGCTCCCACCCAGGCAGGGCACATTAGCTTACCAATATCAGAGGCCCCAGAACTGTGTCCCTCGCTTATAGGCATATGCCATTCCCTGGTCCATACTGACTCACCTGCTCGCAGCACCCAAATGTCCTATGCGAGGTGTGCGACTACTCACAAGCACCCTCCCTCCCGACACAGAGCTTTCGGTTGGAAGAGGGAATGTGGGCTCCCACCCAGGCAGGGCACATTAGCTTACCAATATCAGAGGCCCCAGAACTGTGTCCCTCGCTTATAGGCATATGCCATTCCCTGGTCCATACTGGGGGGGTGGAGCCTGACACCCCGGCAGAGGTGGCAGAGCCCGGACCGCACGGGGGGGGAGGAGGGGGAAGG